ATAGTGAATCCCGGCTTTAGGTTCATATTCACGATTAACCAAAGTCATCAAAAGAAACGCGTTAACCGGCTTGATACGTCAGTGCCTTCAAGTCGAAATACATTGTAGCCGTCACAATAGGATCTTTCCAATGTATAAAACATAAAAACAACATATTTAGAACAGTAAACTCTGCATACTCTACAGAGTAACATTACAGTTCCTCGTCAAATCAGTTTTTACTTGAAGCGGTGGTGTGGTAAAGGATAATAAATAATTATTTGTATTTATTGAATCATCCCTTAAATTAAATCATTGCTCTCAAACTCTTTTGCAAATGAAGATAAGTTTTTTTGTATCTTTTAAGATGACGTTACGTCGAACAAATTTGTAGAAAACGTGAGTGTTTGAATTTCATCATTTATTAATACGTGAAGTGCACTCTGGGATCCCTCTTTAAGAATAAGTGCGAATGTATGAGTACGATAGTTAATATTTAGTTGAAAAACTAAAAGATATTCAATATGTTTTAGAACATCATGAAATAAAAGATTCGTTGTTTACGTTCATATTGAATTTGGTAAAGAATAAGTTTCGATCTTAGATAATGTTTTGTTTCCAAGATTACAAAAAAGTTTTTTAAAAAAATAAGTACCGACCGTAGTTCACTTCACTATGAACTACCGACTTGACACAGAAATGCAGGCGAGACGTTGCATGTAAATCATTCACAAATTGTTCTTTAACAATGGTGGGTGCTGCACTTTCAGATTCTTGAATTCACCTGCTTTAATATTCCCCGCGCAAGTCTATGAAAGTGGAACGGCCACCTTACCTTTGCAACGGCACCGCAGGTGATAATTTATTAAAGTGACGTGTGTCTAGTAAAACAAAGGCTTCTTAGTAATGCCATACTGTTCATTTATTGAGTAATTTACGTTCATCGATCCTGCAACACTAAACTGGGAATTTCTTTTGGAATGTATTGAAAGGTCTCTATCTTTCTATCTACTCTTGTCATGCCTTGAACCTGTATGAAAATACCCGTAAATGATATAAACATAATCCTGTTAAATTTTCGTGAAAGTATTGACTCTGGATTGCAAAATGGTACCAGATTGGTATTCGCGAATACACTGATGTCCACCATGGCAAAATTTGTATAGAACAGTGTGTGGTCTCTGTCTCATCCCCATTGCGGGAGCTTTTAAAAAGCGACAATTCCACTAATGGTTACGGTACAGTACACTCAATATACATAGTTAGGCCACGAGTGGGTGGACAAGTCGCCCAAAGGCGACTACTTCTTGGCGCATGACGAACACGGCGTGCCTAATTGTCACGAATTAACTTTAATCGTTGCACCGAGCCCGGTTTATCTCACCGGAATGCCTGGTGTGCATTGTTGGCCTCTGACTGGGTCGACTCAATACACCGGGGATTATAATTTGGATTTTCCTAAATTCTTTTTCAGATTTCATCGCGGTTCAGGACGTCTCGATTGACATTTATAACTTCCAAAGGGACAGCATTCAGCAACAGACGCTCAGTGTATAACAAAACGAATGATTATAAAAACATAACATGAGTTTATTAAAAATCACAACTATAAAGACGCATATAATCCGTAAAAGTATATCTATACATAATTAAGTACCTATTATATTATATTCCTCTATAAAAATTTGTATGCCACTCGAGAGCACTATTAAATGTCTGTAAGCATATGGCTCTGCGAAGCGTTATATTTACACTGCTTTAAGGAGCCGTATGCCCAAAAGGGATTCGTGATTTATATAATAAATAACACGGTAAACTTTTGACTACAGAGCTAGCATTCGATTAGATATCGGCGCACCGATACTGGTTTGCTGGAATTACAATTATAGATAAAGGTAAATAATTTCATGGGTGCAACATTGCGTTGCGTCAATTTTATCTAAATTCAATGTTGAACTAACTCGATAGTAATTGTCCTCGCGGCCAAATTTAATACATGTCAACCGTCGATTTTCCAGCTTGGATTAATCAATGTTTATGATATTTGCCCTTGCCCTGAAAATGTAGCATAAAGTTATAAAAACTTTATATTCTTTAATAATTAATATAGTATATATATAAATAGAAATACACATAATAGTAATTTAATATTTCTCTGGCAAAATTTTATGCAAAATACCTTTATAAAAAATTGGCACTGCCTTAACGTTAATATATATCGAATGTTTAAAAAAAATAATAATAATATCATAAATATTAAATAATTATATATGAGTCATACATAATAAATTACATATGTTATTCTTTTAGCCTTCTCTTAAAAGATGAGCGTATTGGTAATGATGAGTCATAAGATGTTTTTTTAGCGTTGACTGCTGTATTTTAAGATGATTAAACCAGTTTTGAATTCATAATTTTACTACGGGAACAGAAACCAGATAGATAGAGCTTGGTCAAAAGCTACGTGCAAGAATAGTATATTTTCCATTTTTAAATAAAAACGATCCGTTGAGTGAGAATTCGGCTACCGGAGATTCTAAGTTTAAGTTTTGTGTGGTTTGTGGATTCATACATGGTGCACGAAGGAGAATTTTTACCGGGCACACAACAAGATGTTTGACTTATAATACACCAATATTTTAATCAACAAGAAATCAAATAGTGTAAACACACAAGATTGAAAAATATGATGCGGAATCTTAGAGGTTATAGCGTAAAATAACCAAGCGTACTAAAATGTCGGACAGTGCTTGTTTTATCGGGTCAAATGGATAAGTGTCAGCAACACTTGATTTTGTATCGAGGCCCATTGAAATACTGCCACATTTAAGTCAGGGCATAACCCGAATTCTTCTTTTGCACCATTCTATTTATATTTGAACATACTATTATGTTGAGGAGGTAATATTTAAAAGAACTCTTGTTAATTTAGTAACTAGGTAGTTATGTTCTCGAGTAGTAGTTTGATTTTCTTAGCACACCACCTTTAAGGGATCAATTTTGTGCCAGTTAGTCAATCTGGCAAAATTATTACAATTGGATATGTTTGACATACATATTTTGTTACTTTTACAATTTTGATATATTTTTAATTTTTTAAATACGCCAAAAGTTGACATATGATAATTATTAACTAGGAAAATATTTAAAATAGTATTCTAACTTGACATTGGCAGAATTATTTAAAAAGAATCCTGAAGAAAGAAGGAAAAAGAAAATTGTATTGAAAAGACGCCGTAAACAGCGTCTCTTCTACGTTTTTAAATGCTTTTAATCAACATAGATTCTTATTATTAAAATGGCGGAAAATCGCCTACAAATTAATTCCTATTCTGTTCCTAAATATTTATTTTACCTATTTAATTCCCATATTTTATTGTGATCGCTGGCAAATGAGAACATCTCTTTTTTTATTGTATACATTGCAAATAAAAGGTAAATTGCTTGTTCGAAGCAGAAAATCAACAAAGGAATGTGAAAGGTTTGCCTCTATTTGTACGATGACAGAGGGAGAAAACGAGTTGGCTCAGAAAAAGTCCGCATCATCGATTTGCCTCCTCACAATTCCATCGTACCACCTAATACAAAATGAAACTCAATCGATTGACAGCAGCTATATTAAAATTTTACTACTAGGGCAATCATGCTCTTTGAAACTTTTTTAGTCTGGAATATTACCTTTGACTATGTCCAGATTAGCCTAGAGACCCAGAGACCTGTGGTCGGAGCATACTTCAGCACTATTCTATATTCCCAGTGTCGTATAACTTAAGGCTATACGAGGATTTTTAGCCCATGGGCGGTCAGGTTACTCAGTGTTGAAGATTTCTCCTCTCCATACATAAAAATGGAGAAGTACTGGACCAATTGATACATAAGAAAGAAAGAAAGAAAGCTAAAACTGTGTCAACCAAGTAGCGCTATGTTAACTAACATTTAGCGTTAATACCAACATTTCGGCAAAAAGTAACTAGTGGTCACTATATTTCGTCATATTGACGCGATTGTATCAATGGTGTCACGGGAATAACTCATTAATCCCAAACCCGTGTAGCTATCAAAAGCGTGCTCCAAGAAATATTCTTTAGAATCGGTTTTTAGTAAAAAGGTTCTTTAAAGAACGACGTCAATAATTCCGAAATATTCGTCAATAATACCAGCGCTCTAAGGGCTCTTGAGTAAGAAGACAGCGGACAAAAATTGCGGCCGATTGTACGCGGTCGTTAACCCGAAATCATTAAGATTTTATAGAGTTTTTTCCCTTACATTGATCATAAGATGAAGTTTTCCATGGCGTTGTACATTATTGTACCACAATTCAAAAACGACACAACATGATGAGATTCAAGTCAAGCTTGGAGGTCTTTAAAAGTGACATCTTTAATATATTACTTTAAAAGTTTATAATATATAAGATAATAGATATATGATAACCGGATATACCCAGATCTTATACTTCATAATGACAACCTCTCCCCCAGTAGAGTAAAAACCATTTACATGAATCTTAATTGCCTTAAATTAACGAGGCAAAAGGTTTTTTTTGGTACTGATAGAAGGAAAGTAGTCAGATACGAAAATCTAGACGTTATCTGATAGCGTTTTTATGGTACCAAATTGTTTTTTTTATTTAAGTAGTGTATTTAATAAATTATCAAATAAAATTGTTAAATTTTGCAATAAAAGTACCTACTGTGATTTCGTTACATTATAATTGTTAACAACTGTTTTATACTTCCTCCTTTTACATCATACGTCAGTTACATATTACATATTTTCTAGGTACTTATATTAAACAATTAAATGTAATAAAGTTTTGGAGTAAACTTTAAAATAAAGTTTGTTTTCAATGCCAAAGTTACGTTGTGCGGCATTCCGGAACCTTTTTAAAATATTTTTAAATCGACTGCTGCAATACAAACTTGATAACTAAGTACCCCCTCGTAAAGATAATTGGTTAACACCATACGATAAACCGTAAACGTCGAAACTCTTAAAACAACATAGCGAGGATATTTTTAGTCGTGGCGTAAGCAAGTCCCGTAGTAGTAAATCGCGGCGGACGTACAGCGCTCAGCGACAAACTGCGGCACCAGCGGATTAGAATTTTGCGTGAACTTCTGGGCCATCACCGAATTCCCAACAGAGGTTAAGAACATTGTCGGTTTAGGCTGAAGATTCGTTGAAAATCGACCGCGAAGTTTCACGCAAGCGCGACGCCACCCTACGTTGAAGTCTCGAAATTGTTAAACAATAATGCGCCAGCTCTCGTTCGCTTGCATTGCATGCCATGATGGTAAAGTCACCGCTCAGCACGACTTACCTGTTGCCAGTAGTCCTCTAAGGACAGCTTCCATTCGAAATAGCCGGTGTCCGTCACGTCTTGCAGCTCGCGGAATAGGTTACCGCTCGGAAGAACATCCATCGTTCTTACATGTGACGCCGATCGAATTTTTTAGCACAACACACGTAAGCCATCCGCGGCAGATCGCGCACGACTGGTTTACTTGCGTCTCTCCCCTCCTCCCCCTCTCCGCACTCCGCCCCCGCAAGTATCCTCGCGCGTAGACTAATAACAAACAGAGACAATGGGTATAGCTTTCTCTTTTTTCGTCCTTAAGGTGCCCAATATCTGCCAGGAAACTGTAATGGAGCAGGAACTTCAGATTAATTAATGTGTATTATTTGAAAAATTTTGGCAGTCCTAACCTATCCCTTTTAAATCAAATTATGGCGCAACGATAAAGGAACAGAAGATTTTATATAAAAATTACAAGTACAATATATTGTTGAAATACAGTTAAAAATTAATTATATATATATATATATATACGTCCTCGAAACTTCGTACCATAACTGCTAAATCAGCATTGGCATTCATTCCCATTTTAGTATTTGTACCCTTAAAGCTTTTGCAAATCTTGCAGTAGTACAATTTACATAATTACGTTAAGTTAGAGTAGGAGGTAGAGATTTAACATGTCATTTAATTAGATTGATTTAACAACGTGTTTATTACTTTGCGTGACATAAAAGTAACAGCCTATACAAGTCCTACTGCTGGGAAAGGCCTCCTCAGAGGGTATGATATGATAGGGAACCACACGGTCCCACTGCAGATTGGCGGACTCAAGTATCATCAAAATATGTTTCTTGATTTTACTGCTTAAACATGCAGGTTTCCTCACGATGTTCCTTCATCGCTGAACGCGTGATAATTCAGCACTTAACATTGACAATTACAATGGTGCTGCCACCTGGATTTAAACTTTGAGAAACCAAAGTACCTTTACTGAATTAAAAGCGAGCGCCTGGACACTGAGCTATCGCGGCTTTTAGCACGCTGGCGTGACATACTTAATATAAAAAAAATTGGAATCCACTAAGAAAGTGTTGTAATAGCGCAATACATGCTCACGGTGATTAGCATCATACTTAAATATATATAGGGATATATCCATGAAGTTTCGATCCTCAGCAGTGAGGGAACAACTAAGAAGAGAGAAGAGAGAGATCCATATGAATACCACAAAACCGCGTTCCACAACTACCATCAGGGGAATTTGCTCTGTAGCGATTTCGGAAATAATAAACAAATACTCCGAAAGACGGAGAAGCTTAAAAACCATTTATTTAGTGCATATGTATGTCAGGATGGCGTCGAAACATCGATTAGGTAACTTTTTTTAGGGCTTATAATTTTACTCGGACTGGTTACGGGACCGCCCGATTTCCCACCAGAGCTATTATAACCTTGTACATGTGTATTGTTTGTACCTTGTACGAAATTAACCCACCTATTCTAATGATATTGTAGCAGGTCTTCATTGCCTGAAAACCTGGATAAAACGCCTTTTTCTAAAGATGAAACCTAAATCTAGCTAGATTGATTTATCGCCCCCGAAACCCCCCACATACTGAATATCACGAAATTCGTTGGAGCCGTTCTGATTATATTTACAAGAATTGCTAGTTTAAAGGTGTTCCATTCGATAAATAATGGCAAGGAATCAATAGGGCCATCTATATTCGTAGTAGGTGGTCACTATTTCGTATGAAGCGAAAGGGGAAATTAAATACTGCAAAATAATCAACATGTCATGTTCCGAATCTATAAATCTAGATCTGTAATTGATCTGAACCGAACGACCGACCCTTGTGCCTTGGTCGGGATAAACTTTTAGATTAGATGTTTATTTAGCGGGCTCTGTGCTATGCTAACCTGAGCATAATACAACTCGCGTGCAAAGCGTGTACACGGTTCCACAATTACGCGCGTACCCAACCAACCGTGGCAACTTCATTCATACATACCCATGAACCCTCACGCCACAAATTGTCCCATGCAGTTTTCAATTCTATGTGACAATATACTGAATTTCTGACATGTCGTCTCCGATCGTCAACGTCGCAAAAGAACGTAGTAATTTAAACGACACACAATGAAACTGCAATTTAACAACGCTAAAGGTCTTTAAAGGTCGTCTCTACTCTGTACAGACTGCAGGAGCGACGTTTATAAGAGAAAATACCAGACTAAATAACAAAAATATTCTAAGGTAAACTTCAAGCTATTTAATACAATCAATGTTCTTTAGTACTTAAACAGTTCTTAAAACTTTAAACAACACTTAACTATTGCACCGTGTTGAGGTCGCAAACAGAACGAAATTTTAATTAAATAATCGAATACTTATTAATAATATTTATTTATTTTAACGCTATAATTTATTAACATTTGCTATAAATTCGACATAATAATTTTGAAACACGTTCTCACATATTGCTGATTTTTTCATGGTGCTGCCAACTAGCTCTACGGTCGACTCGTCTGTAGAGGTAAAACAGAACTAGAAGTATTTATACGTTCTCATGTCGTGTGATGGATTAATCGGGCAGACCTAATACGTTGACGACGCAAGTCTTGCATTTGTTAGATCCCTAAGGTCGGTGGTATTCACACTGTTTTTTTTATGTGTGTTTACTATTTTTTTAGTGTAATTTAAGAGTCAAGGCAGGAGAGAATAGACTCAGCTGTACGGCTACTACCTAAAAACTACTCACCTGTTACCGTCAGCTATGATGGTGGTGTACTGGCCAGTTTTTGAGTGGAAAGAAATAAAAACAAAAAGCATCGGCCGGACCGCCTGCTCGTATGGCACCTTCCCGTATGTAAAGTTATCGGTACACTTCAAACAACGACTGTAGCATGTGTAATCCATGTACGATACGGCGCACTTGCCTGGCCCTGCCAATAATACTGTTACACTTGGTAAACGAAATTGAACGTGAACATTGCTATTCGCCAATTATTCGCATATGTAATCCTAACTTAGCTGTAGGGCCACGCAACAGTTTCCACTGTTGCACGAATGCTCAGGTCCGTCCGGGTAAGTACCATGACCTCATAGAAGACCGACCGTAAAGTAGAAGTGTTACATTTCTGCGTTTTGTCGGGTGATTGAGGTAGCTAGGGCCCACTTTACTTGAAGGTGGCAACGCATTTGCATCCCTACGGGTGTTGCTAATGTGGGCGGCGGTTTTTACTTAACGGTTCACCTTATGTGAACCGCCAGCTCGTTTGCCACTTCACTACATAGTATAAAATAAAGTCGTCCCGCTGTCTGTCTATCATTCTGTACCATAGGTAGTTATATATATGTATGATAGATCTATGTATGATACTAGATAGAGTGATTGCACCCGTGCGAAGCCGGGGCGGGTTGCTAGTTTTCACATAAGAAAAAATACCTACATACAGTAAGTACTTCGCCTTAATGACAAAATTCAGCTTGGTTAAACGGCTTTAGAAGTCACGAATATCGGGAGCGTGAACAAAGTAGGACGTACGTTAAACAGAAATAAAGATGAAATATTTTTCTTCAATTTTTATACAAATTACTTTATTTCCAAAAAAAAATTTATATTTTTTCATCTTTGATATCGATTAAAATAAATATGAAAGGAGTAAAGTTAGTTAATACCGGGGCCATTAAATGTGATACATGTATGAATGAAAAGAATTGCAACTTTAATTACCATTTCATTTGACTTCTGGACATTCGAATAATTTAGGATTTTGCACCAAGTTTAGTTTCACAGTATTACTCGTAGAAAAGTGCTGATTATAGCAATTGTTTAAGCCCTTATTTTGTTGGTTGCCACATAACTGTGACTGGGCCACCCAACAGTCTTCACTGTTGCTTGAATGGGCAGGCCCGTCCGGGGAAGTACCCTCGACCTCACCGAATAATTTTTAATGAAATCGATTAAATTGGAAAAATAAACTGAAACAAATAATTATTTGCATTAAGCATTTTCAACTATGAATACCTCGGAACGCAAACTAAAGTACTTGGCTTAATTCATTTAGTTTTAACAAGTTCGTCTCAAATCTTCCCCGGAATTTCCACTAAAATTTGCTTTCATGTCCGGCTCAGTGCAGCTACGGCGCAATCTCGGGGCGATAAGCTTTATTAGTTAACTTCATTCAACCTCCTCATCTTAAAGAGCCTTAAGTGAGTGGACAATGAAACCCGCCAGCGCTTAACCCAATTCTTCGAGTAAGCCGTATAGCCTAAGAATATTGCTGCCCTTATTATGGAATATCCATTGTTATCGTAAGTTATGTAGCATTCGCCAAAAGTATCGCCCATCAGTTCTGTGGCTGTCGCTAGATTTTTCTGCGGCTTCCAATATTATGCACATCTCGTTGATAATGATAATGATTCTATTTGTAACATATGTTCTTAAATAGCAAATTGAATCTGAAGAACACATAGATAATTTTTTCTTTTTTTATATTCCAAACTGGCCAGCACTTAACTGCCATCCCACCTGATGGTAAGTGACGATGCAGCCGTTGATACGCATGCGTAAAATGTTTGACAGGAAGGGTTTTGTATGGGAATTTTTTTTCCATAATTTCTCATCGTTTAAAAATTCCCTGGACTGCCACAAATATTTCAAAACCAAAATTAGCCAAATCGATCCACCGTTCTCGAGTTTTAGCGAGATTAGCGAACAGCCATCCATTTTTATATATAAGATAGAAGATTGAGCAGTGGCCCTTACTGATATCTCATCTAGGGCAAGCAATGCCACCGTAGATGATGATCCAGTAACTCAGTTTGAGCCAATCTAAAGTTAAAGCTGTTCAGATTTTCCATCTTTGCCTTCTTTACAATGACATCAAATCACATGTTAATTGAATCATTATCTATAGTATAAAGTTATTTATCTAGGAATAAACAGATTTAAAAACGATTTTCGTAGTGATAGAACAATGGGATTGAATGTAATATTTGAGAGTGCAGTTCATTATTGATATTAAGCAACACCCGTACGAGGCATTCCGTGTTCCATGAAAAAAGCCTTGCCATCAAAAGCCATCTATCCTATAGATGATTTTTTTTAAAGGAAACG